GAAAGTTTGGGGACTGCTGAGAAGGTGTCCAGGAAACAGACCGGGGTAGTAATGGGGGACTTAAACTACCCTGACATCAAGTGGGAGACAAACTCTGCACCAAATGAGAGATCAAACAGGTTCCTGACATGCCTAACTGACAACTTTGTCATCCAAAAGGTGGAAGAAGGAACTAGAGAGTCAGTTACACTGGACTTAATTCTTACTAATAGGGATGAAATGATTGAGGGAGTGGAAGTAATAGGATGTGGAAGCTATAGGAACTTTGTGACAGAATGACTATGTCATACTAGAATTCTCCATAATGCAGCCATAGGTAACTGAATGAAGTCAGACTTCAAGAGAATTGACTTTTGCAAACTAAGAGGGAGACTAGAAAGAATTCCATGGATGGAAATCCTAGAAGAAAACACAATTCAAAATGCTTGGGAAATTGGGAAATGAGATAATAAATGCCCAAACAAAACAATACATGTAGTCCTTGACTTACAATCACAACTGAGCCCAACATTTCTGTTGCTAAGCAAGACAGTGGTTAAGTGAATTTTGCCCCATTTTTGGACATTTCCTGCCATAATAGTTCAGTGATTCGCTGCAGTTGTTAAGTTAGTAAAACTGTTGTTAAGTGAATCTTCCCTATTGACTTTGCCAGATGGTTGCAAAAGGTAATCACATGACTCTGGGTCAAAGCAACCGTCATTAAATACATGCCAGTTGCCAAGTGTCTGAATTATGATGATGTGACCACAGGGATGCAGCAATGGTCTTAAGTGTGAAAACAGTCATAAGTCATTTTTTTCAGTCTGTTGTAACTTCCTACGATCACTAAATGAATGGTTGTCAGTCAAGAACTATTGGTATCACAGAGAAAGAAAAATAAGAGATTCCATTGCTAACACCTAGGAAGATAGGCTCAGGATTCAGAAACAGGTTGATAAATTCCAGCCCTATCCAACAAGATGCAGTTCATTGGTGAGAAAAGTAAGGTCCCTTTCAACCCTAATATTCTATGACTTCCTTTCCAATTTCTAAGCCCAGGAATTAAAAGAGCGTGACTGTGCTGGATCAGCAGGCAGAGTAGTGTGATAACTAGGTGTGGCATGTGTCTCCAATGGGATGCCATGTAGTAGGATTTTCTATAGAAATGAAATTTCAGTGTTAGTCATTCTTTCCACAGGTAGGAGAAAGTAAATTCCAACTTTATTTTCAAATTTACAGAGTATAAATCTGTGGTGTGGGATTTAAATCTAAATAGTTCGTTACATACATGTTTACCAAAACAAAGCAAGTAAGACTAGGTTGCTTCTAAACAGATTTGCTCTGAGAACAAAAAATGCATTATTTTATAAACGTAAATATATTATTTCTTTACCTGATCAATTATTTGACTTCATGGTTGAGGAAATCATGGTGGATTTTATCCAGTTACAAAATAGAAATAGTATATGCCAGTGATAAGTTTATATCTCACCTCTATTAGTAGGATCTAAATGTACAACAAATATAACCATTCTCATTTCATGAAGTACTACTCATTCTTACTTAACTCTGCAAATGTTGCATCAGAGTCAGGATGTGACCCATCCTCACTGGACTATCCATACTTCACCACAACCTTTATTTAGCGTTTTGTTTATTTCTTCAGCAATTGGTTGCTTCGGCATTTGTGCTGAATCTTAGCTGTTGTTTTTAGAAAGGTGTTATGGAACATATTAACTAAAATAGGAAGGGAAAAGGTGGGTGGAACTAAAACTTTTCTATTTTTCTCATTATCATTTAAGCAGTGAAAATGCTTAAGAGTCTTGAGCAAGAATTAAGAGGAAGGTTGCAAAATACTGCTAGAATAGCTGTTAGAGTTCATTCCAGCCTCTTTATCAGCAGTGTGTGGTACACTGTATACATAAATATACTTGTCTCAGAAGTAAAAAAAAAACAACAGTTCCCCAAATAAATAAGTCACTGCAATTTTATTAATAATAACTATGTATAATTATCTCTGGCATGCAGTTATTAACTTTTAAAATAAAAAAATAATTAAAAATGTTTTACTTTTTGACCTGATATATCCTGTATATATGTATGTGTAAGGGAGAAGGAGAGCATGTGCACACATTCATACACATGCAATTTATTAAATTTCTATCCTAGTGATACAATAGATCTAGTATGCTTCTGAATTGTTGGATGGGGAACTTGAATTACCCTTTGATGATAGTTCCTAACTCTATAGGCAGTTCCAGTCAATAGTTGTAGGGACATGCAGTTGGAGTGTTTGGAGCACTAGTACTGGGCTCCACCCCTTCCTGGTTTCTTTTTAACATCTGTTGTTTTGGAGTGAGGATACCAGTATGCAGTGATAGTCAATTTTACATCCCCACACAGGTTCAGACTTAATCCCAGTAAAATGAGAATATTGGCTCCAACATGATCCAGTACTAACTCCACACATAGAGCAGTAGAACTTAGACTTATATTATCAGAGCCCCTCAAGTGTATTTGCCTTTAACTCTTCCCTTTCTTCCTTCCTTGCTTTTGTCTATGTATTTTCGGAGCTTGCCATACTGTTGGGGGAGGATGCTTGCATGGGGATTATTATTTGCTTTGTTCTGCTTTGTACGAGATGCCCTCTCTCTGGGCAAGAGGAATGTGACTTGAAAACATCTGCCTTACCTCCAGACAACAGAGCCTGGGACTGTTGGGAAATGAAACCAAAAGAAACCTTGAGAAGCGCGCTAAATCTCCAGCTTCTCATAACACCATGGCACCTGCGAATTGGCTGGATTTCAACCAGACAGTTGGACACTGGGGGGAGGAGCTGTGTATTGCCTTTTTGATGTAATCCTTTATGCGCCAAATCTTTAGACCTTGCTTTGCTCTCTTGCCATCACTAACTCTCAATAAAAGTTCCTTTTGAGACAATCTGTTTCAAGAGTTCTGCTTTCTTGGGAGAACTAGTTGAGGCAGGTCCTTACATATATACTGCTTCACAGTGCTTTCCAGCAGTGGTCCTCAACCCCCAGGCCACGGCCCACTACCAGAATTGGGTCATGCAAGTGGCTGACCAGAGCACATGTGCATGCACGTACAGCTTGACTTGAATGAATGATAGGCTGGCAGGCACTCTACATGCTCGTGTGAGCTCACCACTCATGCAAGTCGAGCTGCATGTGTGTGCACCAGCCTGCCACTTGTGCAAGGGCTGCCTGTGCGTATGCAGACCCACTGCTCACAAAGTCTAATTCCCCCCTCCCCCCAAAGCCAGGCTGCCTAGCTGCAAAAGTTGGGAATCTCTGCTTTACAGCACTCTCTAAGTGGTTTACAGAATCAGTATATTTTCCCCAACAATCTGGGTCCTCATTTTAGTGACCTTGGAAGGATGGAAGCCTGAGTCAGCCTTGAGCCAGTCAGCATTGAAGGAATCGAACTCCTGGCAATTTGAGCAGAGTTAGCCTGCAATACTGCAATCTAACCACTGCGTCACCACAGCTCTTCTATTTATCAATTTATCAATCATCTAGCTATCTAGCTATCTATTTTTATTAGAATTTTTATTATAAGAATATAATAAAGATAAAAGAAATATGTAAAGGAGTGACTTCCAACCTTCCTCACAATAAGTATAAACAAATTTAGTAACTCTTCACCCTCTCTAAAGTAATAAATGTTTATTTCTTCTTCCCATATTCCATCTCTTATTTATAAAGAAATCCATAAAAATAATCTTTTCAGTCCTGGTGTTAGCAAGAAGCCCATAAAGAACTGGCACAAGTAACATCATAGCTTGTTTTAATCTTGATCAAATAAACCAGCTTTATATGCCTTCCTTTTTTTCCAACAGTTTTTAGTTCATTCAAATATTGTAGGATTTGATTTCTCTTCATTTCTTCTTATCCCATTGCACAGAGTTCTATAAGACATTAATAAGCCCTTTTGTAAATCCAGAAGGAAAAAAATATTAGCCAGGTCATGCTTTTGGTTTGTCACTTATATTTGCCATTTAAATTTTAAAGCCTTGGCTAACTGCTTTTGTAGATCCAATGAAACATTCTTTTCTAAGTCATTTTCTTGGCCTCTCAGTTGTAAATCCACTTTCAATGCCATCTCTACCTTTTCTAGTAAAATTTATTCTACATCTTCTGGATATAGTGTATTGATAATGTTTACTTGAGTGGCCTGCTGAGTCCATGTGTAAGACTTCATAGTAACCTTATTCAACAACTGAACAATAGCAAAGTTATTTGGAAAGGACCCGATACTAGCTGAATTCTTAAAAATAGATTCTGCTTGGTGGGTATCAATACTGACTTCTCTGTTATGTAGACTATCCTTTTCAGATGCCCAAGCAGTGCAGTCAATTTACTGTAGTCCTTATAAGAAATAATGTGTTGGCAGAGGAGCAAGTAAGGTTTAAGGTGGCACAGTCAATATTTGACCATTGAATTGCAGTCTATTACCTGGTTAAAAAAATATTCCCACTACTTTAGATCCATTCTCTCTGCCTCCTTTATTAATATAAATGTAATTTTTGATTCAATCTCCAAAGAATGGCTATGGGAAAAATTAGCAGTGTCTACTGTTGATTGCCAACAATTTTGTCTAATTATGATGCTATGAAAAATATAGAAACCTTTTTGTACCACTACCACCTCAAGAAAAGTTAAGCTAACCCAGCTCCCATTCTTTTCTGCTTTTAACTACCGGCCAAAAAAGAGAGTTTACCTTATGAAACTAGCAAACAAACCACCTTTAAAGGTTATTTATTGATCTTTACAAAAGGGCTGCGATCTCATGAATTCTTGTACACCTACAGTCAAAGAAATGCACATTCTGCACAGGTTTGAATTTAATATTCCTCATATTCGTCACTGAAAGTAACTACTCTTCCTCTGTTTTCACTTCCTCTTTACAGAAACGTAAGATCAGTACACTAAAGGAAGAGGGTGTGACTTTAGCCATTTTCTAAAGAGAGGGTTGTGGGCTTGTTTTATTTTTATTATTAATACAGAAGTGACTCTTCGGAAGAATAGGAATTCCACATGTTCATAATTAACAAAGAAACTTGAGATGAAGCCACAGAGACTGCTTGATGTATGTTTTATATTTCTTTTATTGGGTATTTCTCTCATTTGAAGTAAAATTATTACTCTCTGCATTGTGTAGTTATAATTCATTTAACTTTTCTCTAGAAAATCTATGAATTGATATTACTTTTTACTTATTCATGTCATGAATTGTCAGCTATTCCACTATTTTTGTTTCCCTGTGGTTTTAACATGACCAAGCTTTAATTCTTCTGTTACCAGCAGCCACAGATACTTTTCACTATCAAGGTAACATATCTGTTATGCCACAAAGACTTGATGCTCTATTTTTGTTTGCTTGTCTTGTTTTATGTTTATTTAAGAAAAAGCAACCTGTTTCTTGACTGTGTTCTTAACTACCATTTCTCAATTCTAAATCAACTTTTCAGAATCCTGGCATATGGAGGGTAGAGTCCCTGTTCAGTCATTGCATTGTATGCAGTCAGGTACCTATCATAGGAGTACTTTAAATATCCTAAATTGTAATTTAAAAAAATAAGCATGGTTTCAGCTGTGTAATTGGGTGCAGATAGGTCCAGTCTATCTGAAGCTCTTAGCAATGGGTGCATCAAGATGGCCAGGCAGGGCTTTCTGGAATTATTAAGCAGAGACCTACTTGTTTTAAAATAAGAAAGGAAACCTGGTTTCACCCAACATTCTGCATGTGAGGAAATGAGGGTCAGAGTAGTGTTTCTGAACACAGTTCTTTGCTGAAATGCTATTCAAAAATGTTTAACTTTTTTCTATCTATTACTGTGGAGGAGTTAGCTACTTATAAGCATGTGGTATTAGATGTAAAGAACTGTGTGAGTTTTGTGGCATGGCTTGTTTTTCATACTTAGCAGTAAGCTATATCCCATTGTTTCTAATTAAATTGGGTGTGCAAATAGTATTCATGCAACCGTGTAATTTACAACTATAAGGATTGCAGTATTTTAGATGTGTTGTTTAGGAACTGCAGCAGAATGGATCAATAAGCATAGCAATTTTAATTTAAAATGTGTACCTCCAGGTAGATGTGAGGTAGAGTTATTTTGAGCATAGTGTCCTACCTTCTGGTAATCTTGCAAAAAATGATGTTGTTAATACAAATTAGAGTAGTTGGGGGGCAATGGTATACAAATTTAATAAATAAAAAAAATCTCTTTGTTCATTTGTCTAAAGTATCTAACATTTTCCTGGTGGCAACAGTCCATAACAACGATATAACAAAAAGTGCTGTTGGCAACTCTGTTGGGAAGCATACTTTCTCAAATATGAAAGCATAATGTTTCCCTACATGTGATTATTAAAAAAAGAGAACCTCTGACAGAAGTAAGGTTATCTATACTATCTGAATTTCTGATTTCACAGTTCTTCCTAATTACAGTCTCTTTAATCTCCCTTAGTTTATTATGCATGAGGACTGTCGCCTATAATTGTATTCAAATGTAACTTCCCTGATGATTTAATTTTAATTTAATAATGATAAATATGTATCTTCCAGGACTTAAGTGAATTGCACAACAGGCAGTCTACAGATCAAAATATCAACTATGCAGGTTCTTGTTAGTCTTTGTAAGAAGTTTAATTTAATCATCCTAAATGGTACAAAGGTGAAACTTGAAATATTCATTTTTATTTGTGGGCGGGGAACAAGTTTGCTAGATTATTGTCTAGTAGCTACCAAAATATTTTCTTCAGTTAGATTATATAATATTGGCTTAAAATCACATAGTGACCACCACGTTATAATTATAAGTTTGTTAACCAATGATAAAGAGGTTTGTAGGACCCAATATTACTATTAAAAGTAACTATATACTACTGGTGCCAGTTTAATTAAAGTCATTGTTAAAATACTAGATATATTACCTGTTTAATATAAAATGCCAGTCAAAATTCTTAAATGAAACTGATCTATTGATAATGCTGTCTTTTCTTCATGTATATCATTATTTGAACACTGAAAATGCTCTTTGGCTATGAATGACCAAAGATTTGTCCGTCTGTCAAACTTCCTTAAAACAACAGTAAAATATTGCAATATCAGAACATTTCTGGATTAACACATAACATATAGTCTTTGGGACTTTTTAACCAATGTAAAGGTCTTTTGTCCTTTTATACATAACTTTTTATCCTCTGCTTTTTTATTCAAAGCATATGTAACCGCTGACTAAAAAAAATGTAACCGTTGACTAAAAGTTCTGCTTCCTTTCCTCCTTTTATGTTGTGGTAATGTTCTCTACTTTTTAGTTTTTGGGTTGCCATGCTCTGGTAACTTGGTTCATCACTTCAGAAGGGGAGGGGAGAGGAGAGTGGTTCCTTGTTTAATATATTGCTGTTTTGTTCCCTACAGTATTTCACCATAGTCATAATCAATTTTGTCAACTTGTTCCCCTTTTCTGTAAAAGATAAATGAGTCAGAATATGAAACATTGATTTAAACAAGTTAATGGGAATTTAAAAACAAGAAAAATCTTTGAGTTCAGTGCATCCTTTCCTTTCCTTTCCTTTGCTCTCCTCTCCTCTTCTCTCCCTTTAACTTTTCCTTTTCTTGTCCTTTGATGCCTTTGAGTCAGTGATAATACCTGGAAATTGCCTGGACAAGTCCCTGAAATTTTTTTTGATAACATTTCAGAAATAATTTGCCACTGTCTCTCTCCTAGGACTCAGAGAGAATGATTGGCCCAAAGTCACCCAGCTGTCTTTGTGCTTGAGATGGTACTAGACTTTAACATCTCCTGATTTTCCAGCCTGGTGCCTTAACTGCACCGAAGTATAAATAAAAATACTTCTTTGGAGGCTTTAAAGCTATCAAATTTCATCAGAAAAAAACTTATGAATAAAAGTAGTTTCAGCTTTCCTGATTTCCTGGTTCCTAGCAGGGGCTGACATTATGAGACAATAATCACTGGATTCAGTTTAGCTATAATTCTGGGCAGAAGTCAACATCCATGGTGTGAAGCAAGAACCAGCTTGAGAAATTTTCAAACATTTCCTTCTTCCTTTTTTTTAATGACCTCTTTCTCTGTAATAATAATTGTCCTAAGAATTGCAGTTTTTATGGTAACATTGTAAGCTAGGTCAGTATCCACCTGCCTACCTTATCCTACAACAGAGGAAGCTGGCAGTATCTGAGAATGAAAGACCAAGAAACAAACTTAAAATGCCAAAATTAAGAGTTCATGGCAAAAATAATATTTGACCCTAAGGTTTCTTCAACTGTAACTTGGCCTCGCCATTGCACAGAGCTAAGCCATCGCCTACACTTCTACAGAATTATGTCGGTGTGCTCCACATCTGTTATTCAAATTATACTAACAGTGTAGATACACTTTGATTCTATCACTTGCTTTTTTGCAAGAGAGTTACCTAGGTTGTTCTGTTTCCCAGCTCTTTTCCTAAATATAGTCATCTGCTTTCATGGAAATGTTCCTACCATCATAGATTGACTCATGATCAGATCAGAATCTAACATATTGCCCAGACGTTCATTCAGCTGAGTTCAGTGGAGCTTTCCTTCATTTAAGAAAGTATCCAACCATATTTATGTCTGTAGTATGGAACTAGATACCTCACTTTCCTCTCATTAGAAGACCGTCCCATTCTTCCGCTGAATGAGGATGGTTCTGTTAAAATTCTGCATCCATTCACAGTGGTCCTCACTTAGCAACCACTCATTCAGCAACAACAGCACTGAATGAGTGGTACTTACGACCAGTTCTCATACTTGTGGCTGTTGCAGTGTCCGCAATGTGATCACCTTCTATGCCAGCTTTTGACAAGCAAAGTCAGTGGGAAAAATGGCATATGTTGCAAATGTGATGTGACATACTTTACCAACAACTTAGTTGATTGATCAATTATATGAATTTTGTGTAATATTTTTTTAACTCAGTCAAATCTTTAAGTATTCCATCTGGGTTTTTGGGTGGTTTTTTTTGTAATAGTACAGTTTCTTTAGAAGTACATGCTATATTGTTTCTGTGTGTCCAGGGTCACAGGGGCATTGTCACTCTAGTTAGGAAATCTTCCTGCATCAGCCTTCAAAGACAGTTGAGGAGCAAAAGTAACATCACTAAAGGCCCAATAAAGGCCTTTCAGGAACATTGATTTGTTAAATATGCCATAGGGGAAGCAAAGTCCCTGCTGGGTTCACTGGCGATAAAAGTTGAGGACCAGGCTTGGTCCAATTGATATTCTACTACACTCTCTACACTCTCTTTAATTAGCACTTTGACCTGATCATATCCCATGCTAAGTAGAAAATCTGGAGACAATCCCAAGGATTTTAGTTTTTCTCAAAAAGATTCTTCATCTTCGTCATTCTCACTGGTGCCTATGTTGTGCAGATTTTCTATATTTTGGCTAGGGTTTCTATTGTCCATATAGAGTTCCTGAAAATATGCCTCCCAGCTCCCTGAGATAACAGTCCACAGGGGCCAGGCCATTTCTTGGGGCGTTATGTCAAGTGATGTGTCAGAAAGAAGCTGAGTCATTAGATCAGACTGCCTAAATGAGTCGTGTCCTGTTGCTTTTCATGGCTTTTTTCTTCTTCTTGCATCTAGTAGTTGTTTGTAGTATCCTTTCTGCTGGAGGAGATCCCGTGCAGCTGTTGTTGTAGCATTGGATACATAAGTCTGGTAAATGGGAAGAGCTTTTTTTGCATAAAGTTGAACCCTAGCTTGGAGTGGTACTGTTCTTGCTTTAGGGCTGCACAGTTGCAGCCAGTTAAATGCTGGTGGAGCTCTTCAGTTAGGGTGTTATAATAGTCTAAAAGTACATCAGGAGTTTCAGAGCTGTCAGGGCAGACTCCGGATTCTGTAGTGGATGCGCAACAAAAACTTCAGTTATTATTTGGTTTAACTGTGGGATCCTTTTAGCTCAGCAGTTTGTTTTTCCTGCTGGCATTGGTAAGGGTTAGCAGCAATCCTTAATGTGTGTTTCTTAAGTGAAGGCATTTAAATTAATCAAGATGGGGAAATGATCGCTATCAAATTTAGGCATAACTTCTAGGGCCTTGTCATAAGGGGAAAGGTCCCTAAATTCAATTATATAATCAGTTGCACTCATTTTCTGGAGCCAGATAGGCAGGTGGATTTGGCTAGGTAGTTTGATTTTAGATGCTTTGAGCAATGGGTGGGGAGGAATTCATTATCTTCAGGGTTGGGAGGGGGGCATTTGTGCTTTGCTGATTCATTTTCTCTTTATCCCTTACATTTAGCACATTTATTTTTAAATAGTCCTGTATAGATTGTACTTGTCTTTTTATATCAGACCAAAGAGCAATCAACATACAACCGTGGAATATTAAGGACAGAAAAATTTACAATATTATGCTTAGAGAAAAATGATATAAGATGTTCTATTGATTGTATATTACTCCAGTAATGATTACCAAAGTAGACAATTCATTCTTTAAACATTGTTGGAAGCCCGGGTAGATAGATAGATAGATAGATAGATAGATAGATAGATAGATAGATAGATAGATAGATAGATAGATAGATGATAGATAGATAGATAGATAGATAGATAGATAGATAGATAGATAGACAGACAGACAGACAGACAGACAGACAGATTTGATAGATAAATTTGATAGCAATGCTGTATAAGCCAGTTGAATAAAATGAACCATAACAGAATGAAATGAATCTTAAAGGTGAATTTTTATTTTTAGTCCACTATTTTTTTACTAACTAATATTAAGCTTGAGCTGGTTTGGGTGAGCAGAACAACATGGTCACAGACAGACTGCATTTTTAGTGAACTCTTAAAACATCTGTTTTAAATACTCTTTTATTTGGTTTTAAAATATTTTACATAGTGATTTTATTTCATATCAGTTAATAATTTTAGTACCCTGTATTAGGATTAATAATTTTAGAAATTTACTAAGCCTTATATTCCCTCAAAATATATTGAATTGGTTTTATACATGATAACAACTGCTAGAATTTTCTGCATTTCCAAATGAAAGTTACGAGCAATTTCTTCTGTAGAATGATTATGCAATTATAAAAAAACCCTAACGTCTTATTTGAAAAGTAATTCTGATATAGAATGTGATTCAACATTGAAATTATTTTTGGATTGTAGTTTTATAAATGGGTTTTTATCAAACCCAAAATCTGGGTTTCTCTTAACATAAGATTATAATAGCCAATATTTTTGTGATCTGATAAATTTGCCATATTTCTTAAATTAGGCAGAAATGCTTGCAATTTGAGTTATACTTTATGAGTAATGGTTGTTATGGTTACTATGCTACTTAATAGCCTAATTTTAATATTGATTTATTTTATAATGATTTAAAATTTTAAATTGATGTAATATAATATCAGCTATTAAATAGAATGTAATACATACAGTACATACTTAACATTTAATAAATACTCTAATATGCAAATTTATATTTATATATAAATTTACATTACATTAATTTTGACATATTTTAACTAATTTAATAATCCTTGTAATTTTCTTTTTTGTATTTTCACTTTTTCCTCTTATTCTCCCCTTGCTGTAAAATTGCTTGTACTTGTAAAATTAATACATTAAAAAAACAACAGGAAAAAACCAGAAAGGATCTGTCTGTATGAGTAAAACCAAACCCTTTCACCACTTTTGAAATCAAACTAGAAGTAAGACAAAAGTGAGAAACATTCTTCCTTTTTTGGTTATTATCTGCCAACAGAGGAAAATCTGAAATGTTCTGTTGTAACACTAGTAGAATATGAATGTGCAACTTGCAATGTTTCCTCATACTGTAGTGTTTTACAAATGTCATTGCTTCCTTCATGTGAGCTAGAGCACCTTTTAAAATTTGTACTGTCTAGACTAGAGCAGGGATAGGCAACCTTGGCTCTTTTATGACTCGTGGACTTCAATTCCCAAATTGAATTCTGGGAGTTGAAGTCCACGAGTCATAAAAGAGCCAAGGTTGCCTACCCCTGGTCTAGACTCTAGAATAACAACAGGATGTGGATAGGAACATTTCTTGGAATAAATTAACTTCTTAGGAAAGATATCCAGAAGAATTTGGTTCAGTTCTTTGTCTCTTGATGAAATTCCTGGCCCTCTTGGTTTCTTTCCAGGTGCTGGATTATAGTTACTTTAAAACAAAGTAAAATACAAACAATGACACCTCACTACTGTCTGGCATGGAAGAACAGAAGTACATGTTATAATGACTCATATTTTTAAAATGCATATCCAACTTTTATACAGGTTTTTCAAAGCATTTGAAGTTTTATAACTTTCTTAGTCTCATCTTAAAGCAAGGCAGGCAAGAGGTGGGGATTGGAGGTTATAGTCTTTTTTAAATTGTTTTTTGGCCTTCAAACATTGCAAGGCATGTGGTGATAATGGCACCAGAAGAATGAGAAAAAACTTCTAGCTCTGTGGGAGAGGTTGCCTTTATTCAAAATAAGTTTAATACACCTATTTGTGACATATGTTATTAAAACAACTTTTGTGTGGTCAAAATTGACAATTGGCCACTGGATTTCATGTGTGTGATCTTGTGAGAGAGCAGAAATATTGGTTGCATACAGCCCAGAAAGTGTGGGTTTCCTCACCTTTGTAGTAAAGCATGTATTGAACATATTTGGTGGCTTTTAATCCAGCAAGAAGGCAACCATTTGCCTAATTACAAATTACTAATATAAATATAAATTTAATTGGCGTTTTTGACATAGCAGCACACTGCTTAATTTGTGGTCTACTAGGGTGCCCAGGTCCTTTTCATAGATACAGGTAGTCCTCGACTGACAACAGTTTGCTTTGTGACTGTTGAAAGTTACAATGGCACTGAAAAAATTGACTTATGACCATTTTTCATACTTACGAACATTCCCATATCTCCATGATTGCATAATCAAAATTTGGACACTTGGCAACTGGCTCATACCTATGACAATTGCAGTGTCCCCGGGATCATGTGATAACCTTTTGTGATTTTATGATAAGCAAACTCAATGGGGAAGCCAGATTCACTTAACAACCATATTACTAACTTAACAACTACAGTGATTCACTTAACAGTTGTGGCAAGAAAGGTCATAAAATGGGGCAAAACTAAACTAACAAATGTCTTATTTAGCAACAGAAATGTTGGGCTCAATTGTAGTTGTACATCAAGCACTATCTGTACTAATGCCAATCAACTCCTGTCTTGTATCTGTGCATCTAGTTTTTCATGCTTAAACGCAGAACCTTACATTTCCCCCCCACCAAACTGCTTTTTGCTGGAGAGGCCTCAATATTCAAGTCTAGCAAGATCCTTTTGAATCTTGTGCCCATCTTCTGGAGTATCAGCAATCCTCTCCTCCCTCAGCTTTGTCTTGTACAAATGTGTTGAGCTTCCCTACTGTACCTTCATCTAAGTCATTTATAAAAATGTTGACACAACCACTAGGTACACCTAAGGAGAGGGTAGTCCTTCTCTTTGTTAGTCATATCCAGTTTCTGCAACTGTTCTTCATATATTTTAGTCTCCAGACCCCTAATCATCATTGTTGCTCTTCTTTGCACTCTTTATAGAACCTCAAGCTCTTTTTTACATTGTGGTCACCAGAACTGGGTGTAGTATTCCAAGTTTAATCTTGCTAGTTTCAGTTCCTTATTGTTATGTATTTTACATTCTTTAAATTAAGATAATTATTTCTATTATGTAATCCACAATAATTTTAATATGATCATAACCTTAAATCTAATTTAAAATAGTCAATACAAGTGTAAACAAATACTACACATCTTTCCATTTCTCCTCAGGAGTTCTTCCTCCACGAAGTATCTTCTTCCATTTATTATTTAAATTTTAGGTATGCGTTGTAAAGATAATTGTCTTATTTCTTATGTTTCATTGCATACTATTTATTTTTCACAGGAGATGTTTCCTAAGTACTTCCTTTTGCTATTTGGAGCTGTGCTGCTGTTGTTGACAACAGGTAAGCTGCATTTGCCATTACTATGCAATTCTGCCATATGGCCTCAGTCCGTAGAATAAGGAAGATACTTAAGACTATTGAAATAAAAATTCTTTAGGTTCTGCTGAAGGGCCAATATGTCCCATCACATTCTGAATAATGCAAGACACTATTATTCAGTCACTTGGATCTCAGTTAATACTAACAGATGCAGGAGAGAACTATGAACAGAAGAGCAGGCTTATCCTAGAGAAAATCCGTATGTTCCATCTGAAGTGTTTTCCAGACTCTTTCAAAGGCAGTCAACATGCTGTATCTCTTAACTGATGAACTCAGAGAGCAATGGGCATCAACAAAAGTCAATGGGGAAATCAGCTGGAAGTTGCAAGTCCCAGGTACCTCGTAAGGAGGCCTGAGAGTGGGTGAATGTGAAGAGAGGCAGAGGGTGCTGTCGTGAGTGCATGTAAGCTGGGGAGGGGGTGCTGCAGTGCTGTGCAGGTGAGTACAGGTTGCAGATGTGCTATAACACCATGCAAATGCAAGTGGGTTGGGGAGGGGGTGCTGCAGCAATAGGACACTGCGGAGTATGAAATCCCTGGGATTTCACGTCATAACTACGACTAATTCAGTGCCATGGCATCTTCAAATGGTTACTGAACAAATGGTTGTTAACTCAAGAGTAACTTTGCTAAGAGCCCTGGTGGTGCAGTGGTTAGAATGCAGTACTGCAGGCTAATTCTGCTGACTCCAGGCTGCCAGCAGTTTGGCAGTTCAAGTCTCACCGGCTCACGGTTGACTCACCCTTCCATCCTTCCGAGGTTGGTAAAACGAGGACCCAGATTGTTGGGGGCAATATGCTGACTCTGTAAATCACTTAGAGAGGGCTGTAAAGCACTGTGAAGCGGTATATAAGTCTAAGTGCTATTGCTATCCTCTCAGTGGCTGGTTTGAGTATTCAGGGAATGAAGATAGCTAGGTCACCATCTGGTGAACAAACTGTTCCAGGTTATGTCATGGAGCAATTAACACATTGTTCACTTGATGCACCTCATGCAACACTGTTGCATCAGGATGTAGTTTAGGGAGAAGAAGGGCAAACCATTTGCTTAATTTCCCTTTTGCATGGATATGCAGCACTTCAGGGTGAGATTGAGTTTTGAGAGGGTGATTTTAGCTGTGAGGTTGGCTGATTTGAAAATGTTATTCCAATTGTGCATCTTGTCTCCGACTTATTTCATATGTGCAATAGCTACTACTGTTATTATGTGGTGAAAATGGTTATCAATGCCTTGCCCAAATACCTTATTCAAAATGCAAAGGGGACGGGTCTATCTAACACTAGAAACATACTGAAGCTAGTGAAAGATCCCAGCTCAAGCTTTTAACCCTGGTGAATCTTCTGCACGCAAAATAATGAAGAATGCTAATAAAATTTGTGGGTGGATTCTACCTCTTTGCCTGCCATGAAAATTATGTGTATTAGAAATCTAGCCATAAAAAAGATGGAGGAATCCTTTCATTGTACATAGAAGCAGAAATCTGCTCCTCTCCCTGGAAAACCCTATCATGTCACAACCACGATTCCAGCAAATTTTGTTGTCCTTCTTTATGGCATTCAGAAATTTTTAAGGGCAGGGACAAGTTGCTTCCTCACTGACCAAGTATCACAAGCTGGGGAAAAACTTCCATTAATTATTATCCTTGACATGGGGTGGCTATGGATGGGGAGGAGTAGAATTTGGATGGATTGCTAGATTGCTTCCCTGCTCAGCCTGCTGACCACCACTGCTGTTTGAGAACATGAATATGATACAGTTGCATGGATCCCTGATTTCCCTGATAAAATAAAAGTACTGTATTCCATGACTTGGTTTTAGATTTTTTTTTCTTATGAACTAGCAAAGTTTATTTTGTCTTATTTGACACAGTGTTCAGCTCCACTATAACCCACTAGATTTGCAAGCTGTTGCAATAATAATAATAATAATAA